TCAAGCAATTCTCCTGCCTCAGCCTCCTGAGTAGCTGAGATTACAGGCACGAGCCAACACGCCCAGCTAATTTTTGCATTTTTAGTAGACACAGGGTTTCACCATGTTGGCCAGGCTGGTCTTGAACTCCTGACCTTAGGCAATCCACCGGCCTCGGCCTCCTAAAGTGTTGGTATTACAGGTATGAGCCACCACACCAGCCTTCAGTTCTACTTTTGAGAAGCACAAGGATGTTCAGCACACAGGGCTCCGACACATCTATGGAATATAATACCTTGCACTGTTTTCCCCAGGTAATCGCCATGCCTCTCTTTATTGATCACATGCTGATATATCTTCCCGGTGGTGATGTTGTTGTCTTTATAAAGACTAATATCCAAAAATCTTTCATAATTTCCAAGGTCCAAATCAACTTCTCCACCATCATTTAAGACGAAGACTTCACCTAGGATTAAAAAGGCAATGGAAAAATCAAATCTTTGCTTCCAGTAGATTTTTCAAAGATGAACACATTTTTATCAAAGAGCTGGTAAAAGATGTATTTCTAAGCCATATTCTATCACCATCTCATTGTTGGTGGAGAAATTAACAATTCAATTCTATCCCAGAAAATGCATCAGAAAATTCTATTCATAGTATTCTATTGTGTTTTTTTAAATCTACTGAAACTCTGTCTTCAAAATTTAGCTTTTCCAAACTCAACATACACCACATGAAAAAAAGACTTGAAAACAGCAATTTTAAAAACAAACAGCATTTTACTTCAAGGCATCAGTATCCTTGGCTCTGGAGTTGCAATAAGAAACTTTTACCTTGATTCTCTTCTTGGTTAAAGCCACAATTAGACAGTAAATGACAAAGCAAGGCCACAGCTAACCCACAAGGCAGCTTGGTGAAACTGAGAAAAAAGGCCTGGGTGTGCCATATGCTACCTGCACAATGCACTGTCAGAAAAGACAGGTGCAGACCTCATCATACGAGGACCACCCACTTTAACAAGACCCGTCTGTAGATCTCTATTGTCACTTCCGGGTGTTGACTGGGAGTCATATGTTTCTAAAGCCACCTTGTAAACATTGAACCTCTCCCCCATTAACGAAACTATCATTTATTCCTACTGTTAGATGTACATAGGAAAAGGACACTTGACTAACTTACAAACTTAATCAGAAACCTTTTATATCCTCATTTACTTATTCATTCTAAGGTACATGACTGTGCTCTAGAAGATTAATTTTAAGGAAAAAAAGTAAATTGATATCACAATACTTTTTTTTATTTTTTTCAATTTTTGTTTTCAATTTTTTTAGACAGAGTCTCGCTATCACCCAGGCTGGAGTGCAGCAGCACAATCTCAGCTTACTGCAACCTCCAACTCCT